TCTTGTGCAATCAAACAATTTATAATACCTTCATGCAGTCCTGCTTGAAGAGTTGAAGTGTGGGCGGTTTTATAAGAAGACACACTGGTGGTGTAAAGCGGTGAACCCTGTAGTTGATCTGCACATAGCTCCGTGAAATCAGGTAATTCAATTGGGTCTAAGAAATTGGAACAATGACAATATGCTTTTTCTAATCAAAAAAAATTTTTTTGAAGGGAAAAACACAGTAAACAACTACCAATCGCTTCATCTCTAACTGTGTAACACATTTCATTCGGAATGCTTTCCACATCTGGAATCTTTCTCAAGCCAGGGAGTTCAATTGTGTCAATGTCTTCTGGTAATCCTTCTACTACAAAATATGACGTTTACGATTTTTATTTAAAGAATTGGATGCTTAATGATAGAAACGCTGTAACCCACATCTGCTGTGCCGATAATGAGGCAGTCTCACTGCTGTCATTGAGCTAGAAAAGTTGTCGGCTCTAAAATAGAAACATGCGGTTCGCCAAACATATGAAGATGGAGGATGAGAGCACTGAATAATTCCTTTTTTAGTTTTTTTTTTTTGACGGGAAAAAACCTGTCCAAAAGAGGCTTGGCCTGGAATTTAGCAATTAATTTCATGAAATGAATCTCTTTGATTACTAGCACTTTTTAAAGGAAATAATTTTTATAAAATTCTGGTTGTTCACCTTTTTCAACACATCCAAAAGATAGATATCGCCGTTTTTCTATAATTACACTTCAAAACCAAAACAAATCTGCTTGTGCCAACGAACTCACGCTAAAGAATTCCCCTGTAATTCTTGCAACACTTTTTTCTTTCTTCTGTTCGCAAAATCGTTACTTGCCACCGGAACTGACTGCGGATAATCTACGTAAGAACAACTTGAATTTGTAGAGGATGTGGAAACATGATGCGGCATCTGAGACAAGACAGCATTTATAGATATTTTGAGGTTATTTAGAGATAATTACCATAGAAGCAGCGTAACGGGAGACTATACGACTACGAGGAACATCTTCACTAAATTCCGTCTCAATATGGAGAGACGAGCGGAAACTAGATGAGCCTAAACTGCTGTCCAAGAAAAACTAATCCTGCAGAAACGCAAAAAACCTACATCTACCCTCGCGGAAACCTGATTTTGTCTCCCTGGCATTGTCAAGCGAAATCACGTGAACGAGGGCAGATGCCTCCGCGTTCGTTAGCACCGAGTTTTCACGCGATAAACGTGAGCACACAGTTTTGAACACATTTACCTAAAAGAGAAGACGTGCGACTAAGCATTTAAAAGTGTTAGAACGTTTCCAAAAACTTTACCTCTTGATTGTCTTTGTATATGATCACGTTAGAGGAGCCCGTTGGGAAAGGAAACTGTTCGAGATATCTCATCAGTCGCATTATATATCCAGAAAAATCCTCTACAAAAATATATGATAAAGAGCCTGTGGTTATAAGGGAATCAGGCGAACCTCGCTCAGTTCGCTGTTTGACTACACCGCTAGTACCAACTCTTTGACAGTTCCATCTGATATCCTGACCGACAACATTCCAACTGATGAATGGTAATTCGTCGACGCGCAAGATACGACGTAATCTAAAATTGTTTTAAGAATAATATGCTAATACAGCAGTTTACAG